AAGTGAAGGGCTGCGACATGTCATGCGATTTGGCATGGCCCCTTCGACTTTGATTGTTTTCCGGGTGGTTCTAGGTGTCATTTGCTATTCGCATAGGTTCAAATAAGGATCATTGTATGAAGCGCACCACAAGTGAGCAGAGGCAGATTATACCTCATTCAAAATATATCATGTCTCAACGCTATTCTTTTTGAACTTTGACATTCGGGCTATATTTAGACCCTAGCCTCTCGATGAGATAACAACGACAAGCAAAGAAATCCTGCCCCCTTCGACTAGTGGTCCCATCGCAGCTCTACGACGCAGACATGCGTCTACCTTTTGTACTCCTTACCCCACTCACATACCAGCCCTTACTCAAGCTTGAGCTGCTCAAATTGCTTAATCGTGTCCTCGAAACTCCTGGCCTCAGACTCAAGGTCGACAAGCTTCTGCTTGTCCAGCTTCTGGACGGCCTCGGCGACCTTCTCCTTGTAGATGGGGTCGTTGAGAACCTTGTGCTGCTTGTCAATGTTGGCGCGTGCCTTGTCGAGCCTCTTCTTGGCCTTCTCAACCTCGGCGTCGAGGTCGACGCGGCCCTTGACATGCAGGTACACTGAGGCGGATGAGGCGACGGGGAACGCGACGCAGCCGGCGGGACGGGCGGCGTCTGAGGCAATGATGTCGATGCCCGTGACGCCCTTGCCGCTGAGGGTCTTGATGGAGGCCACCTGGTCGTTGATGGTCTGGTGAGAGGTGGCGTCGTGAGACTGGATGATAACTGAGGAACGTGTCAGTGGGCATGATCTACATCGCAATATCCGCAGAGGCAACTTACTCTTGCTCTCCTCCTTCTGAGCGTACTCGCTCATGAGGGATCTCGCACCACGCGAGCATCCCAAAACAAGCTCGTACGCGGCCTCAGACTTGGGGTCGTCGAACTTGGCGTCGTAGACGGGGTAGCTGGCAAGCATGATGGACCTGGTCTTGTCTTCAGGGCGGCGAGGCAGACGCTGCCACAACTCCTCCGTGAGGAAGGGCGTGAAGGGGTGAATCATGGTCAGCGCACCCTCCAACACGGTGTACAGGGTCTGGACGGCGCTGGCAGCCTCCTCAGGGGTGCCATCCCTGATGATGGACTTGCTGTTCTCAATGTAGACATCGCAGAGGAAGTTGAGAATGTACTGGTACACGATACCAGTGGCCTGCTGGAAATCTCTCGCCGCCAGAGCGGTGTTGATCTCCTTCGCGGCGTTATTGAGCTTGTGAAGGATCCACTTCTCAGCGAGAGTGACACCAACGGTAGCCTCCTTGGCGGGAACAAAGTCCGCGGGCAGGTTACCGAGGACATACTTGGACGCCTGCCAAATCTTATTGCAGAACTTTCTCCAGCCGGTCATGACCTTGACGTCAAAGTTGACATCACCGCTCGTCGATGTGAGCGCAGCCATGGTGAAGCGAAGACTGTCAGCACCATTACGAGGCAGACCATCAGGGAAGGCCTGCTTCTGGTACTTCTCGGCCTTGGCAACTTCGCTGGGGTGCAGGTTACCAGTGCGAAGCTTGGCGTGGAGGTCCTCGAGCTTGATGCCGGCGATGGCATCTAGGGGGTCAATGACGTTACCCAGAGACTTGCTCATCTTGCGGCCCTCGGAGTCACGGACGAGGCTGTGGCAGTACACCTCAGTGAAAGGAACCTGGCCAGTAAGCTTGATACCAAGCATGACCATTCTGGCGATCCAGAAGAACAGAATATCCCAGCCAGTCTCGAGGACAGAGGTAGGGTATAGCTCCTCCAGGTCTTGGGTCTTGATGGGCCAGCCCAGGGTTGAGAAGGGCCACAGGCCAGAGGAGAACCAGGTGTCGAGAACGTCCTCATCTTGCTCAAGAGTGAAGTTCTTGCCGGGAAGAGCAGCCTTAGCCTTGGCCTCGGCCTCCTCGCGAGTCTTGCCAGCGAACCACCTCTTGTTGTCCAGGGAGTCGGACTTCTCGCCCTCAACCTTGGCTAGGTAAACAGGGCAACGGTGACCCCACCAAAGCTGACGGGAGATACACCAGTCGTTGATGTTGGCCATCCAGGCGTAAAAGCTGCGCTCAGAGGACTCGGGCTTGATCTTGATTCTGCCGTCCTTGACAGCGGCAACGGCATCGTCAGCCATGCTGCGCATGCTCATGTACCACTGGGGCTTCAGCAGAGGCTCAATGACGTCCTTGGAGCGCTCGCAAAGGGGGATAGTCATGGCGTTGTCCTTCTTGTCAACGTAGAGACCGAGCTGCTTGAGCTCCTCCTGAATGGCATAACGCACGCTGAAGAGGTTAGTTTGCATGATGGTATACGAGACCTGCACAGGCACTTACTCGAATCTCTTCTGACCCTGGTACTTGCCACCATTCTCGTTGATATTTCCATCATCGGTAAGAATGTTGATGAACTCGAGGCCATGCTTCTGGCCCAGGTTGAAATCGTTGGGGTCGTGGGCCGGGGTGAGCTTCACAGCACCGGTACCGAACTCCTTGTCGACGTAGGTATCCGCAACGATGGGCATCAGACGGCCCGGAATGATGGGGTGGATGGCCTTCTTTCCAACAAGGTGGGTGTATCTAGGATCATCCGGGTGAACAGCGATACCTGAATCACCCAGCATGGTCTCAATACGGGTGGTGGCAACCTCGAGATATTCATCGGTGCCCTCAATCTGGTACTTGAAATGAATCAGAACACCAAACTCAATCTTCTTCTCGTAGCCGGGAACCTCCAGCAGTGTCCTTCCAGTCAGCTCCTTGTTGATAACCTCGAGGTTGGAAAGGGCGGTGGTGAGCCTGGAAGACCAGTTGACAAGTCTATTGGCGCGGTAGACGGTACCCTCCTCGAACAGTCTGACAAAGGTCTCGGCAACGGCGGCGGACAGGTTCGCGTCCATGGTGAAGGCCTCGCGGCTCCAATCGAAACTTCCTCCCATCTTTCGGAGAGCAGCGTTGATCTTGTCGTGGTATTCGCCCTTCCAGGTCCAGACCTTGTCGACAAAGTCCTCACGGCCGAGGTCGTGACGGGTCTTTCCTTCTCTTCTCCAAAGCATGTTCTCGACAACGCTTTGTGTAGAGATACCGGCGTGATCGCAACCGGGGATCCAGAGCGTCGTCTTGCCCAACATGCGGTTCCATCGAATCATGATATCTTGAAGGGAGTCGCCGAGGGCGTGGCCCAAATGCAGGGCACCGGTAACATTGGGAGGAGGGTGAGCGATGACGAACTTGCCCGCGGGCTTAACCTTGCCCTCGGCAGTGAATTCGGGCTCTGTTGAGGTTGAGTTAGCTCACGCAAGACCTCCCACGACAAGGGGGCACGCCTGGTATCACTTACTGAAGAAGCCTTCCTTCTCCCACCAGTCATACCAGGCACTCTCGACAGCTTCAGGGTGATACGCCTTGAAGTGGGGGTCCTCGAGGGGCTTGAGGCGCTTCTTCTCTCCCTTGGGGGTATCTTCAACGTATTCAGGGATAGCCTCCTCCTCCTTCTTCTCGGCCTTGGCCTTCTTCTCCTTGTTCTTGGACGCAGCGGGGGCAGCGGCGGCCTTTGCGGCCTTCTCGGCCAACTTTGCCTTGAATTTGGCGTCCTTCTCGGCTTTCTTGCGCTCCTTCTCCAATTCCTTCTCGGTCTTCACCTTGGGAGGTGCGCCGGCGGTCGCACCAGCATCCTGGCCGGCGGCATGGGTGGCGGACGTCGAGGCAACCTGAGCCTTGGTTTCGTTTGAGACGGCAGGAGGAACCTCCTCCTTGAGGCCCTCAGTAGCGCCGACTGGAAAGGAGACACCTGGGTCAGCTCAATGTCTGAAGGCATCACAATGGCAATTGGGCCGGGAGGCATCGTGAGAATGTGGGGGAGGAGGGGCTTGCGCACTGGGGTTTCCGCGTCCGCTGTCGGTGGCCATGGTGGCACGTGTCTGTAGGAAAGGTCGAAGACGGGGAGGACGTGGACGTAGACTGAGTGATGGAGGGCGCACGCGGAGTGCTCGAAGAAATATTGAGTTGGACGTGGTGGATATGTTTGCGAAGAAGCCCGGGGAGGTGGGCTTCGACTGATGGTACAAATACAAAAAAATCTCCAAAGGTCTCCGAGGAGGGGCAAGCAACTATGACTCGGCGGTCTGATTGCAGCACTTCGCGGATTTGAGTCACAGGATTGGGTGTTCGAGGAGGAGGGCCTTGGAGGGGTCATGCAGCTAAAATTCGGGTGCGAGCCACACGCGCAGGGAACCTGAGGTGCTCAGGTCCGATTTTCCAGCCACAAACAAGGGGGGTTCACCTTGCCTTATCGATGACTTGCCTTATCGATAACAAGTATGACTTCGTACCTAAGGTACCTTAGGTAGGTCCCATTCCAAAGTCCCATTGGGATGAGTCGCACGCCGCTTCTGCCCCTGGCGCATTTTCCTGCCGACGCATAGAACCTGGGAAGCTCAAGCTCCAGCCACACCAATCCAGGTCGTTTGATAATTCATCATACATTCATTCGCTTCCTATCTTCCGAAGCTGGAGCAGTTGTAGAGAAACCTGACTCACAGAAGACCTCAATTCGATTCAATGGGTTTGTAAGAAAGGAAAGAATCTCATCAGCATATGCGCGTGTGATTATCAATCCAGTCGCCGGCGAAGAAGAAGCATACCGAGAGCTCGGCCCAGCTTAGAGGTGGTGATCGTGACGCGATGCATATCCAGAGAGCCATTCCCCGATTTGCCCAATGTGCCAGACAACCATTGGCTAGACGAGGATATCAAACCGCATGCTTTTCTGTCCATGGGAATGAAGAGAGCTGGCAGGTGAGGCTGCCGAAAAAAAGAAATCTTCCTTGCATCGAGATCTCATGCCTCATTAATACTGACCGAGTGAATAGGGTACCCTCGTTCGGACAGTGACCAAGACCGTCAGGTCTTTACAGAGAGGAGGCCTCGAGAAATATGATGGCGCGGTTGTAGTTCTTGCTTCACGGCCATATGCGTCATGGCTGCTGGATGAAAAGTTCATGGCCTCATTGCTGCGACCCTTTGGGGATTCAAAGTCATCCGGCGACGTGGGTCGCGAATTCAACGCTCTTACCGGTGTAGTCGATGGGCTTCACCCCCTCCGTGCATTTGGTGACATCCCGCACGGATTCTCATTCTACTACGGGCCAAAGGATATGATCATACCGAAGCTGTGGCAGATGAAGCGTCCTGACGTGCAGTCTGCTCCTCGTAGCAACGACAAGCTGAACGCTGCCATTACCTTTTCCTACGGATCGAAGCCTGGCAATTACGTATGCACAATTCCCTTGGCAAACACAATCTTTCAGAATGGCCTCCAGTCGACTCTCATCGCTAGCCGCTGGAAACTCAACCTTGAGGGGGGTTTGGACCTGATCGAGCGCGAAGAGCGACGGGCTCAGGAAGTCAACATCTACACCAGAGAAAGCGAGCGCACCAACTCGATCCAGGCGCCCCTGGTCCCCATCACGGCTCCGCGGAAGATCGTATCGGGCCTGGGCAACATCATCAGGCAGGTCGATGTCAATGGCAAAGAGACGCCTGCTTCTTCGGAGCTCGAGACGGCCGTCCAAGCGCTTTTTGACAGGCGGACGGCAGAAGGCCACGAGTTCCCTCCGGGCCCCGTGGGTGTATGGGGGGTCGTTTGTCCCCCTGGCGATGACCAAGCGGGAACCATTGAATTTCTGAACAAGCTGTCCGTGACAGCGTCAAAGGTACGGAACGCCGGAGACGAGTGGTCAATCGTCTTGAATACGAAAGACTATATGAAATGGCTCATCAAGAGAGGTGTCAGAGTCTACAAGATTCGTAAGTTGAACACCCAGCCCAACAATGTGTAAGCTCATCTAACCAGCGAATGAAGAGAGTGGTGGTGGCGGCTGGGGGAAGAAGGCAGGCCTCCTCTCGCTCGATCCCGAAGTCAAGTATTCCGCTTCCTCCGAGGAAGAGGATCTCGACAGCTTCATCCGTTCCTTTGAGAACCGGAACGAAGGCGGCGGCGACGCCGAACAAGGCGTCATCGCTCCGGGCTCGTACATTCAATACTTTGTCGCTCCGCCCTTCACCGCCACCAAGAGGCATACGGCAGCGGATGGCGAATCTCAGTTCACCGATTCCTTTGGAGTGACGGATGACGCGCGACTAGAGGCGTCGTCGGTTCCCACTTCGCGAGACTGGAAACAAATTCAGCACCAGTTCGGTGCGGTGACAACCCACGGGCTCTTCCTTGAGTGCAGGTCGTTGCGTCCTCTCGTCCGGGAGACGAAGCTGGACGTGCCCGGAGCGTGGATCGGACATTTGGGACTCCCTGACCGAAAACGTTCCAAGTTCAGGAAGCTTAGCCTGCACACGGAGAAAGGCTTGGGAAGCTCAAGCTAAGGTGTAAAATCTATGGATGTAAGACTAGGTGGGGGAACTACTGTAATTGTCTTAATAGAAAATCAGCTCTGTCATGTATTTCCTCTCATCGTCGCGGCAAAGCTTGGGCCGGTCATCCGGTGTCGTGGTGTAGGTAATTGAGAGGGTTTTGACGAAAAAGAACTGACGCAATTCTGTAACTTGCAGCTCAGATCGCCGCAGGTGGATATGCGCACTCTTTCTCTCTCATACATCTCATTCACTTCCACCAAGCAGAGGTAATTTTGAAGCAATTAGACAGATATCTTAGACGACCTAATTCTCAATTTTCCCGCTTTCTCAACCATGACCGCAAACAACGGGACGCCCTCAAAGATTGGAGTCATCTCCATCGGCGACATGGGCGTTGGCATCGCCAAGCTCCTCATCGCCAAAGGCTTCCAAGTCGCAACGAACTGCAAAGGCCGCAGGTACACTCCAAAACCCCTCTCCGCCTGTATACTTATCCATATCCATCCATCTGGAACTAACATTGCTGACAGCGAGGACACCCTCCAACGCGCCCGCGACGCAAAAGTAGAGCTCCTAGACACAGACGAAGCCCTAGCATCCCAGTGCGCCGTACTCCTCTCCGTCGTGCCCCCGCGCGACGCAGAAGCCACGGCAGAGCGCATCATCGACGCACTCGCCGGTACCCCATCGCGCGAGACACCCCTCTACTTCATTGACATGAATGCCGTCGCCCCGTCAACCTGCAAATCCATCGCCGCCTCCTTCGCCCGCGCACGCAGCCCCGCACGCTTCGTCGACGCCTGCATCATCGGCGCCCCACCTAGGCTCAAATCCGCCCCCAACGCCGGCACAAACGTCTCTGCCTCGGCCCCACCGCCCGGTACCGGCGACGATGACCCGGATGCGTGGTACGTCCCGGGCATGCCCATGTCCGGTCCCCACAAGCTCTCCGACCTCTCTCTCCCAGGCTCCTCCCCAGACGACGCAAACACATCCTTCGGCGCCCGCCTAAGCGCAACCCTAGGCGGCAACCACATCTCCGATGATATCGGCGCCGCCTCGGGCCTGAAAATGTGCTTCGCCTCCCTCTCAAAGGGCTTCACCGCCATCGCCACCCAGGCCTTCACCTCGGCCCACAGGATGGGCGTGCTCCCCCACCTGCGCGACGAGCTCGCCGCCCGCCTCCCCTCGCACCTGCAGTCGGCCGAGAAGGGCGTCGTGACGATGCCGCCCAAGGCGTACCGCTGGGTCCGCGAGATGGAGGAGATTAGTAAGACGCACGCCGAGGAGGGCGGGTTCGGGCCCGAGTTGTTCGTCGGCGCGGCGGGCGTGTACAAGTCCGTGGCGGAGGACTCGCCGCTGGGAGGGGAGAAGATTGGCAAGAGGAAGAGGGGCACGACGGTGGAGGATGTGGCTGCTGCTTTGACTGAGGGGTTTGAGAGGAAGAAGAAGAAGACAGACTAAAGTCTGATCTGGTGTTTGGTGACGTGGTCACATTGTGTCCAGAACTACGACTTGGACAGAATGTAGATGTCCGGAAAATAATCAAAAGTAGATGTCAAGACTTGAACAGTGTCTCAGTTACAATTTCAATGCTGCAATAGATTTTGTAGTTTCCAAAGATCGCTCTCAACGCCGTTTGTAAAAGAACCATATGCTGCCTGCCCAAACCTCCTAGCGCCTCTTCTCCCCAGTACTATTACACTATGATCCATTATGCGCCGGCCGGGATACTTTTACACGATAACATCATCGCACATTCGTCACAAAATTCGTTGCCCTTATTCCAAAACAGTTATTACAATACTGACAGTGTCAAGTCACCAGAGAGCTTCGCCTTTATGTGCACCTCGACGTCCAAATTGAGCCTGAGGTCGACAATAAAGCCTCGTTCGCCTTCATGTAAGATTTCTCGCGGGTTCTTTTCGCGCTGCGGTCGCGGTGTGGAGAAGTCGGGACCGCCAGGAGGGAGCTCGCCCCCGTCCTCAGGCATCTCAGTTATCGGAGCTCTCAGGGAGAGGTTCATATCCGACGGTCGCCGACGACACGCCGGAGGCCGCCGGATCGGTGGGAACGATGATGATGATGACGAGCTACTCGTGGTGTCCGTGTCAGATGCCAGCGCAGACGCGCTGTTCTCGCCGAGGCGTGGCACCCTTCTAGGCGCAGCACGTCGGGTGGAATGGCCCGGCCGGAGTGGTACCGGGTCGACTAGTTGCTCATCTTCCGAAGGCATTGCTGTCGATGGTGCTGGCACAGGCCGAGGGGCAGCTGGGCGTCTTCTTGCAGGCCTCGATGCAGACTGTCCCGAGCCTTGGTGATTAGGCCTTGTGTTGGCAGCGCTCTCCTCAGCGCCGTCAGTCTCCCTGTCGGGGTCAGAGCCGTCCGACGCAGGTCTCCTATTTGAGTCTGATCCCTGTGTCCGAGACGGTCTTCTTCGTTGCTTGGGTGGTTGAGATTTGGGCCGGGGCCGTGATTGTTGTTGGGAGTTATTCGGTGTAAGTGTGGTTTTATTGCTGTGTGAAGATGGCGGCGGGCCCTCCGTGTGCTGGGCTGATTCCATCCCGTGTAAGTGATGAAAAGTCTGCCCAGTAGACCTAGTTGATAGATGATGACGGAGTATAAGCTGATTAAGAGTTGGTTTGATTGACCCAGGATGTGCTGAACAGGACGATGGTGGTTGCGTATGTTCCGCTGATCTCAAAAGTTAAGATGTTAGAGCTTCGAGGGTTGAAACAAACCCTCGTGTCGCGCTCTGCAGGTGGTTTGTCTCTTTATGTGTCGATCGTTGTTCTCACGATTCAGTCGTACAGCGAAGGGCGTAAGACGGGCCTTCGTGCTCGGGAGAGGTGATATAAGTCTGTACTATCACTGACAGCCGTCATATTGTTGCGCTTGCCCTATCGTCGGTCCGTTTAGGGTCGCCAGGTCGATGGTAGCAATCGGTGTCTCCGTTGGTTTAAAGTGTGGTCGTGTCCGTGTTCACGGTTCACCGTCGACTCTCCATTCCGGTTGCAACGATTTCCAAGGTTTGAGGTGACGGTGGGAAGAGCGAGGCAAGGTAGACGCCGGGAGAGAGCTGGAGTGTTGTGGTAGGAAACTTGGGGGAGACGGGAAGGTGAGAGGCGCAGACTGGGGGCCGGGGAGTTGGAGTGGGCAGTCAGTACCAGAGCTTCTTCCTGCGACGTGCAAACGCGGGCGCGGGCGAGGTGCATGCACCCTGACGTTGTAGGCCGGGACGTGCACTTGGCGGGGGACCTGGGGCGACATGGGCGATTTTTCTTGGTTTTTGGAGGACCGTTGCCAAGTTGCATGTCACACTCTCACATGCATGGAGGGTCCCCGACGATCGCAAACTTGATTTTTTAGGGGGGCGGCGCCGCGGCGGCTCACTCGTGGACGTCCCCAGATAGGCATGTCCCTTGTTTTGACGACTGCGATTTACGGGCACTGCAGTTTACAGACAGCCAGTCAAACCAGTCTCACCCATAAGGTACCGAGACATGCCCTGCCCTTTGCCGCATACCTTACGCAGTAGTTGAAGATGAGCCCAGTTGGACAACCAGGCCCTGGCACCCTACCTAGGAATACCCGCTACCATCAACAATTCGTCCTTGTTGAGTTGCTCCAGTCTCCAGGGGGCCCAAAGCGGCGAAAACGGGGATCTGCAAACCTACCAAGTAACATCGGCAGGAATATTTCAGGAAATCGTCGGTGGACCACTCGGGCAAGTGGACACAGAAGCCACGGAGGTAATGCCGAAGAAAAGGGTCCAAGACTCCAAAATCCTTGATCGGTGCCCTGGTTCACTCGAGTCCCTGATTTTGGACCATGCGCGGACTGTAATCCGGATTCAGATCAGGTTCCTCAACAAGCTGATGGTGTTATTGTTGGCTTCTATAGTTAAGGGTCCACGATGCTATTGGTGAAGGCGCACAACGGGGGGTTTTCTGACAACTGGCTTCCCACGTGTCTCAACCAGGCCTCTCCTCTCTCGCAACTTGGTCTGCTGACTGGTCCGAGACATTCCGTGCAGCATAAACCAAGGTCAGACTGAGCTGGACCAGGGTCTACTCGATCATATCGATATCGTCGTTCGCGGCGGGTACCGCGGCAGCGGCAGCGCCACCATTCGGCTGAGGCGCAGTCTCTCCGGAGTTTCCTCCGCCAAAGTAGTCAGCCATCTCGGCATCCAGTTCCTCCTGGGTCTTCCGAGTACGGCCGTCTCTACCCGAGCGGCCACCTCTTCCACCTTCCTGGTCTCTGCCGCCATCTCTACCACCGTCTCTTCCACCGTCTCTACCGCCCTCTCTGCGAGCGCCGGGTCTGCGTCCGCCGCCACCGCCACCGCCACCGTTTCCGCGCCGGCGGGGCATAGGGCTTCGCGAACGGTTTCCGCGGTTTCCTGGAACGTATCTGTCAATGCCTCTCTCAGCAGCCTCGTCGACATCGTATCTTCGTCCAGGAGACATGGATCTCGACCGACCGCCGGGAGCAGAGATTCGCTCTGCAAGTGGACGGCCTGGCATCACCGCCGAGTCAAAGGGGTTGCGAGATCGACTGCCAGCTCCACCACCCATGATTGACAGCTTGATCGGTTGGCCTGAGATGTTAGTCTTCAGCTGCCGCTGACAAAGGGACTTGAAAAGGGCACTTACCGTTAGCATTGGCACCGTCAAACTGCTTAATGGCGTCCAAAGCATCCTCGCGGGACTCCATCGTAACGAAGGCAACGCCCTCCGAGCGACCAGCGCGATCATACTTGAGGTCCAACTTCGCGACAGGGCCAATTCTGTTAAACAATTCCTGCACATACTTTAGCCGGGGCCACGGTATTCGACAGCTTCAGGGGACCGTACTTCCAAGTCTTCAGGAGTCAGCTCGTAGTGGATGTTCTCGACGCGGATTTTTGAGCTGCTGGAATCCCTGTGACGGCCGGTCAGCGTATGCTCGTATCAATCAATTCACCGAACTTGCCTTTGTTCAGGCTCATCGCGTCTCCGTCGAGGGGCCGGCGCACGGCGGTTGTCTGCTCTGATTTAGCTCATGCTGTAGGTGTGGTATAGAACCTTCGGTCGTACCGTGCTCCTCGAATCGATCGTGAACCCATTCGCTATTCGCGGGGTTAGCTCACTGCCCGCATGGAAACCCGGGTTTGTTTGGACTTACCTATCGAGGTTTCTAGGCTCGTCACGGAAGGACTGTATCGCAGGACGGCGACACCTGTTAGCTTGGCCCTTGCAATCGACAGGTACCGATCCCGGCCTGCAACGAGACGGTCGGTATGGAACCGAAAGCTGCGCGATAGTCGTGGTCGACCGGGATGAGGAGGGAGGAGGGTCATTCAACCTGGACAATCAGCCTGGAGATCTACCAGGTGACGGGTTGTGTATGGCATCGTACCTTTCTAACGCCGTCGCGAGGGTATTCCTGGCGTTCGCGTTCGCGTCTTCGGGGGGCACCTCTACCGTTTCCACGGTTGTTGCGAGGGCCGTCGCTCTTCTGCAATTGCTTTGGTTAGATCCGAGGTCGCATATTGTACAAGGCTGCAGGTTTCCTTACCTTCTCGCCGAGGATCTCGTCAAGGCTGCGGTCCAGCTTGTCCGCCATGATGAACTGTCGGGTGAAAGTATGTCCAGAAAAGAATTGATGCAACCGAAGATGTCGAATTGGGTGGTTCAACAAAAAAAAATCACCTCGGTATCGTGGGAGGTGAACTTTCCTGCAGGGTGTAAAAGGGACAACAATGCTGATCGCGACTCAAGTGACCGAGTGCTGTACCTAGACACAGCTGGTAAAGGCACGTACGGCTGACCGCGGATTGAATGGAGCATCCGACCGCCAAATAAGTGTGGCGCACGCTGCAGTAGGGACAAAGTGGGCATGTGGCTGAAGCCCCTCGACTCAACCAGAACTTTACTTGACTGAGTTAGTACCAATTGGCTTTGAGATGCAGAACAGGAAATCTGAGAATAGCTCCCCATGTTTGACGCCTGGTGGGCTCCCCACTAGAAGTCTCAGGGGTCCGAGTAATCCATTCCATTTGACCCATCTCAGACTCCCAGTGGCTTCCCATCCACCGTTATCCACTCAGCCAGTGGAGTGTACCCGCAAGTCTAAGCACCAAATAGCGCTGCTGGTCGCAAGCTTTACAGGCGCTGTCTCGCTTGTCTCGCCTGTATCATCCGTGCCGTCAGCGCCCTGCGTCCCCTGATGTGAGGCAGGAGGATCTCTCGGCCCGGAATTAGTCCTCGAGGGAGATGAAGCTAAGCCCCTTTTGTCGTCTGAAGTGTAACTTTACTGTAGAGCTGTCCTCCCGATGCGCCTCCCTTGAGTAGACCAGCCCGCCAGAAGTAGGAATCTCGTATCTGGCCAATTTCTTCACTCCCTCGGCGAGAGAGACACACGAGAAGGAGCGCTCAGTGTCATCTTTCATGTCTATTGCATGGCAATTCCAATCTCCTGTGACAAAGAACAGAATACCGACCTGTTCTTCTTAGGACCCAACACCCGCGACAACTGAAGCTCGCTTGCAGCTTCGCGAAAGCCAAGCCAAGCCGACAGCCATCGAACGACCACCTCTGAACCCTCAACAACCTTTATGATTTTCGCATAGTCCCCCTACTCGTCAGATTGCCCGCCATGGCCCGTCCCATGGGGTCAGTTCGCTTGAAGAAGGCGAACCCGGTGACCCTCGTCCTCGGCGCCGTCCTCTGCATCTTTATCGTCGTCTTCCTCGTCGGACCCTCCAAGTCAACAAAGGCGGAGCCGGCCGGTACCGCCTCCCACCATCTGTCGCCGCCTACGGCTCCCTACCGAAAGAAAGCCAAGGGTGACACGAGACCGCCGCCCGTCGTCCGCTACAACCTCAACAATGTCACCATCACGACCGACCCCATCGGCAACCGCGAATCCGTCCTCATCCTGACGCCGATGGCGCGGTTCTACCAGGAATACTGGGATAACCTCTTGAACCTCAACTACCCCCACGACCTCATCTCCCTCGGCTTCATCCTGCCCAAGACCAAGGAAGGAAACGCGGCGACGGCGGAGCTGCAAGAGCAAATCACCAAGACCCAAGGCTCGGAGAAGAACCGCTTCAAGAGCATCGTCATCATGCGCCAGGACTTTGAGCCAGCCATCGCATCCCAGGACGAGGGCGAGCGACACAAGATGGAGAACCAAAAGGCCAGGCGCGCCGTCATGTCAAAGGCCCGCAACTCGCTGCTCTTCACGACCCTGGGCCCCCAGACGTCGTGGGTGCTCTGGCTCGACGCCGACATTGTCGAGACCCCGCCGACCCTGATCCAGGACCTGGCGGCGCACGACAAGCCCGTCATCGTCCCTAATTGCTTCCAGCGCTACATGAACACGGAGACCAAGAAGATGGAGGAGCGGCCCTACGACTTCAACAGCTGGCAGGACAGCGAGATTGCGCAAAAGATGGCCGAGACGATGGGCCCCGACGACATCCTGCTCGAGGGATACAAAGACATGCCGACATACCGTGCGTTAATGGCATACTTGGGCACCGACGAGAAGGATAAGTCGGTGGAGATTCCCCTGGACGGCGTCGGCGGCACTGCCTTGCTCGTCAAGGCAGACGTCCATCGCGACGGAGCCATGTTCCCGCCCTTCTCCTTCTATCACCTCATCGAGACTGAAGGTTTCGCCAAGATGGCGAAGCGCCTAGGCTGGCAACCGTTCGGACTCCCGAATTACAGAGTAAGTAAACCCCGTCAAGATGTCATTGATTGATACACCACTCACACTACATTCAGGTTTACCATTACAATGAGTAAGGGTTAGGCATCACGATGGATGTGAGCTGGGAAATAAACAGACGAAAAAAAGAAGAGTACATCGCGCCCTTTCGTCTAGAAGTGTTCAATGGAAAACAGAAAGTTGAAACATCCCTCCCACACACCTCTCAGTCGCCAACAGCATCGGCGGCGGTATTACGAATTTCACGCGCGGAACACCTCATTGGAAAGAGAACACCAATTTGCCCCTTTACCCTTATGTGCAGATACACCCCTTCTTTTGTATCTTGCCAAACATAATTGCGTTCCAATTTCGGGAGGAAAAATGGCGGCGGGGTTTGGGCAACGGGCGTACTTTGTAGTACATTTCACACAGCAAACTACATTCAAATTTGTTGATCCGTCATGGGTCTACAGGAGTCTGGAACATTGGAAGGGGTCTAGCTGGGAAGGCGAGGGGTCTGTGGATGGTTGGAGATGGGGGCGGCTAGGAAACATCTCTACAGATGAATGAGGTTGACTGGCTTTCTTGGGGTGTAAGATAAAAAACAACGAAACGCCGCGGGAAGGTGATGTATCGTGTTGCGCAAGATATCTGCGGCATTAGAGAGAGAGCACCTATTTCATGTTTCCAAGGGCTCTAGTGTGATAGAACAAATGACATTTTATCTCAAAGTGAGCTTTCAGCTGCAATTATACAATCTGTCGTTGAGTGATGATGTTAATCCTGTGGGTGCTCCCCACCAAACGAGCACTCCGTCCCATCCCTTCCCAACCGATCCCGTTCCATTTACATTTTATATATGTGATGTTGTCAAGTATTTTATCCAAAAAAACATAAGCCGCTGCCGAAACCCAACCCAAAATCTCTCCGCTTCAGAAGACTGGACTACATTGGTCCACCAACCGGGCAGAGTGGCTCCTCCCAATTCACCATGACCCCTCTAGCCGTCATCCAGCAGAGCACACTCCCGTACTTTACACCCGAGTCTCTCTTCCGTAAGGTAGGTAATGAACAATTCTCTTCACGGCCCCTCATAACGCCCCTCGTCATCGCGGCACCAAAACTCGACGAGCGCGCGGGTGCCCAGCACGTCCCCGCCGCGCAGCAGCGCCGCAACGTCGACGTTGAGCGGCGAGTCCGTCTCCGGGTAGGCCAGCAGCGTGCGCACGGCGCGCACGCTCTCGAGGACGCTGTAGGCCGGCGTCCAGGCGTCCTTGAGCAGGTCGAGGCAGATCTCGCCCGTCTGCAGGGCAATGTTGGCGTGCACCACGGGCGTCGCGAAGCGTATCGTCGGCGGACGAAGGGGATAGTCTGTCGGGATCTGGATGTGTAGGAGCCAGCGGCCCTCTGTTTTTTGAAGACGTTAGCTATTAGTCCTGAAGATGCGAATGAAAGAAAAGTCCAAGGACTGCACTTTTGAGAGGGAAGGAGGAGCGATTGTGCAAGAAAGAAGAAGACGAAAAAAAAACCTACCGTCATATCCGTTCCCGATCCCCCGCCCATTAACAACAGCCTCCCACGTCAACAAATCGTCGTCGTCGACGGGGCCCAACCTCTCGATGCCCCTCTCCTCCTTCTTCTCCGACCGCCACACGTCGAGCTCCTTGATGAGCCTCTTGATCGCACCCCGCCCGTCCGACGTGGACTTTGACTTTGACTTCTTGCCGCCTCGGTCTCGTTCTCCTCGTTCTCCTCCGCCTCCTGGCGCCGGGCCCGAGGGATTCGTCTGGGAATCGGGCAAGTTCTGAATGCGCCACGACATCTTGGACAAGTGGAACCTTTGGCTCCTGCTTGCAATCCGGGCTGCTCGCGCGATGAATGGACAGAAGGGGCAGCAGCTGTGGTTCGACTAACGGACCCCTGGAACTTATGAGTCGCAAGTAAAGAGGAACAGGACGGTCAATTGGTATGTAATCGCGTATGCGGTTTTGTATTCTGCGACGGTGGTCAAGCAGGACTTCAGAGCAAGCCGGCTGTACGGATAGCTGTTGATAACCTCTTTGGATGGGGAAAAGCTTTGGGGCAATCCCCAAGCCGATGGGCTGGGTTTACCTCAGCTACCTTAGCAGTAGCCAAGCCACGCTCTCCAGCTTCCCCGGGGTGCCAATGAGACGTACCTTGTGACGCGACAGGACAGGTGGGTCCCGTGGGTTCAGCCGAGGTTTCCCAGGCCGGCTCTCAACTTCAGGTTCAGTCCGGCATCTGGCCAGCATCATCCGTATCGTCCGTACGCCGACCACGTTCCATTTTGTTCCTTCTCGTGCCGTTTCGGCCAGTGCCACTGGAGTCTTCATTATGTCAGTATCGTCGATAAGTATTCAAGAGGAAAGATTCAGAGTGACTCTCAGAAATATGTTCATTAATATTTGTCTACGTCGCGATTTGTGCCATCTTCCATCGTCTAGAGGGCTGAAACAGCCGGCCGGCCAAAGAACTATGAGAGACACTGCAAATGTGCCTGGACTTGTCTGCCTCGCCAAGTTTTCGCCTTCCTAAATTCGCATTTCATCCCCGATATGTCCAGAGAACGGAAACAAAACCGTTGAACCACATGTGTCCGGCCTCCACAGTTGTCACCAAGACATATGGCCGCGAACCTGCTATGCTCATGCAACTTGCTGCTCATGCTATCATCACAAAGAACGCCGAATCCGTGTCCCAAAAAGATAAAAAAAATAAAAAACCGAGTCATCGAGGTTTCCATCTCTGCGCATTGCGTACAGCATTGGTGACGACCCGGTGATGCTTTTCTTTTGCTGGCCAGGCTGCGTCGGCAATGTCATTGCAGATGCGAATCCCGTGCTAGCGAGGAAAGCAATATTCCGCCAGAAGGATCTGGTCGGAAAGAAGATGTAAAGAGTTGTACAATAATTCCATATACATGCGTCATGAAGTCACACTTGTTGTATGCGGTGAGGGCCGACCTGTATCGCGACCAGTCACCCTGGCTCGTTGGTGTGCGTCTCCCATAGAGGTCTAGGATGAAGTCTCCTCTTTGCTGGGCTTCCAGAAACGCATCATCCGGCTGAGTCGTTTCGACTTGCTGGACTTGTGCTTCTTATCACCCTCGCCATCGTATGAGACCTCCATTGATAGCTTGCTACGCTCTCCGTGAGAACTGCTGATAAGTCTGCTAAGACTGGCAAGGCTGGATCGCCGCCGCCCGAAGGCTGCTGAAGATACTGAGACCGGTCGCTGTTGGTCGGGTCGTACAGGCTCCTGTCTCAATTGAGAGCTGGTGGCAAATGAGCTGTCCCTTGTCATGGTTGAGTGGCTGGAGGTCAATGACGGTATATCTACGGAAAGCCTGACTTCTGGGCCTGGCTCCCCGAGAAGCAGAGACTGGAAGTTGTTTTCCTCATTGACTGAAGATGGTGCCGTAGAAATCCGCTGAGCGTCATAGGACATGGGCGAACGAGGTGATGGGAAAGATGAGGCGTGGCTCATCGAATACGGACTGACGGGAACGTGCGAAGGAGTCGGAAGGTGAAGAGGACTGACGTCGACAGGGGCCAGGTCCTTGCCCGCGAGAATTCTGCGGGGAGACGGAGTCGCAGAACCAGTAGACTCTGCTTTTTCGTTGAAGATGGAGCCGGTACGGAATTCAGGGATCTGGGTAACGGGCTCTTCAACGATGACGTCCTCTTGCAGGGAAATGGGCGCCGTCTCCGCGCTCATCTTGAGTTCTGCCATCGTTGCGTCCGTCCCAGTAACAAGATCACGGCTGATGCTGCCATCAGGGCCACTGGTAGGAGTGTCGTCGAGAATAGGCTGCTGTACTTTAGTGGTAGCGGGCGGTGTCGCCTCGTCGCCAGAGGATTCCGCGCTGTCGTTAAACTCGCCTCTGTTGGCACGACTGCTTGTGTATAGTGATGCGCACTTGCCAGGGTGTTCGTCGTCTTCTTCATCCTCCTCGAACACGTCGGCCATTGTCGAACTGCTGCCAAAACGATGTATGCCGAAACGGCCCACATCGAAGGGTACCATCTCAGGGGCGCTTTCAGCGCGGCGGTGGTAGTGCATCCCTGGTCCACTGAAGCCCTTCATACCCTGGGCGCTGTGTAGCTGGCGCTTGGTAGAGGCTGCGGCTTTTTGTGCGGCGTCCCATTCAGGATTATTCGCAAGAGGCGTATTGAAAGGACCCAGCGCGGCATCCAGATCAATCATGGGGAAAGATGTGTCTTCTTGGGCCGAAGCCGGGCGCGGCTTCCACTCTTGTAAGCTCTGAGGCTGGCTGGAGGTGTCCGTGACCATGAGTGTAGGTGTTACCGGTTCGACATTCACTTCGGGTTCCACCAAGAGTGTGAGGGGCTCATCCTTCTGCTCGATTGTCTCGAACTGGCGGGCAGACTCGCCCGTGAGATCCAGGTCTTTGCACTTCTTGTTCCGCGGTTTGCTCTTTCGTGCTAGGATTGATCCTGCCCAGTTCTTGACCTTCTTCTTCTTCTTAGACTTCTTGCCGTCTGCCTTTTGGCCGGTGTGGTCCGAAAGTTCTGATAAGCCAACCGATTCCGAATATGGCTCCGATGTAGACGAGGAAGATGAGCTAGTTGGCTTGGATCCAGAGTCTGAAGAGCTGGAGCTCACTGGTCTCGTGCGAAGTGGTGATGCAGTTGCGTTGAAAGGGTCCAAACCGAAAAATGACCACCTCTTGGGCGTCTTAGTTGGACTGGGCATCGGGGGACCGACAGAGCCTGCTTCAGGCACGTTGATTAAGGTGGGGATGGAGTTTCTCCTCCTTGGCGATGCCCCAACTGATTGAATGCTCTGAGATCGTTCCAAAACCGCCCCAGCAGTGCTAGGCCTGGACTCGTTGTTTTGGCGAGAAGGAGTAAGCACTAGAGGAATAATAGGCTCTGTCTCGACATGTGCAGTAGTCGTCGGGATAGAAATGATGGACGAAATGCTTCCAGACACCGAATGCCCTCCAGGTCGAGCTGTAACTGTGCTGGAAGTATCGCTTGACACCATTGATAGCGGGCGTGGGATGAACTCGAGGGTATCAGAAAAGCCAACACGAGCACGCGTGACTGGCCTGGCTGCAGGAGAAGCCCTGCCACTTGATGAACTCGAATCCGCAGTGACTGGCCTGGTAAGTTCTCCGGGCACTCTGAGGGCTGGTTCAGATTCAACGCCCTTCAGAGTCTTCTCGACCAGTCCTGCATTGTGATGATCTAAACGTCGATCGAATTCAGCCGGGCTTGTGGGAGCACTGTTGCCCCTGAGGTTACCAGGCGCTGAAGGCTGGACGATGAGAGATAAGTCATGGCTTGAGAGCGCAGCCGAGCGCCTGTGCTTGTGGCCGCGACCGCCAGGAGGCTTCGGGGGCAGCTGGAAGTTTGGAGACGCGAAACCACTCTCGGATCTCGTTGGGCTTGTGCCAGTTACGGTGATGGAATCTCCAGAACGGATGCTTCCTCCCACGAATTCGCTCCCTCCCCTCCTGTGTCCGACTCCAGTTGGTCTTGCAGGTGATGCCGCTAGTCTTGGGGAAACAGGCGGAGGGGATAGAGGTGGGCTAAGCAGGAGGGATGTCTCCGGGGATAACGAGGCGCCGGGATTGAAGGTAAAGTTGGGAAGCGCGGGTGATCTTGAGGGCCGATCTGCTGCTTCTGAATTCAAGTTAAAGGTCGATCGGTCTTGAATTTCGATGGCGGACAGCGGACGTCGCCCAGTCGCTCTCGAGAAAGATGAGGGTGCAGAGGCCGACGAGGGCCTTGCCGGGAAGACAAATGGTGGATTCGGTAGTGGAGGCATCGTTCGTGGAGATTGTGGTCCGGAGAATGATGATGTTGAGGAAGTAGAATTATCCAGCATTACCGGAAGAGAAATCGCTTGCATCGAGGGTTCGTCCAAAACATGTGTACTTGTGGCTATCATCATACTCTCAGGTCCGACAGTGGTTGCCATGCTTCACTGAGCCGCTCTGCGGCTACAGGTTTGATCAGCAACTAAAAGAAGGACATAAAGAGGGCGCAAATGCGAAATGGTCGTCGTTGGTTGAGAATGGAGGATCGTTTGGGTGCTCGACGTAGGACGACGCGTCAGGGACGTTTTGCGAAGTGATGGCGGGTTTTGTGATTAATTCTGCAAGGTGGCAGATTGAGCGAGTTGATTCTTCTTTTCGTTTTCTTATATCGCGAAAGGGAATTGAAAGAATCGATGGGCGAATAAACACCTTTCGGAACAAGTCGAGTGCGGCGCGCTGACGATGGGAATTGGGCGAAATTGGCGTTCACGATTGCGTTCGTGACAGAAGCGGTCGGCCAGGTAAGACAAATGCTATTTATCGAAGATGAAAATTGAAGGTGTTTTTAAGGAGCGGACGGCACAAGACCAGAAGCAAATCTGCAAGATCTACAACTAGAATTGAACCACGAAACAGAAGTCAAGAAACGACGACGGCCTCGAAGGGTTTTGGGGGGAAGAGAGTTGGTAGGAAGAAGAGGGGGGTTGCGACGCGGAAGACTAAAGAGAGGATGGGATGGATGGGTGGATTTAGGATTAGAATTGGGGACAGACACACACACACACACACACATACACACAACAGCGAAGAAGCGACGAGTCGGGTCCAGCGGTCGGGGTGTGTTGGCGATGGGAGAAAAGGGGGGGTGAGAAGACAGGGATGGGAGGGTGTGTGGGAGGGAAAACCTCAGTTGGGTTTGGACTGGCTCGGGGAGAGGGGGGGCCAGTCTGCAGAGGAGGAAGGAAGTCCAGGGGGAAAAAGAGGGAGAAGGAGTAGGAACGACTACACTACGACCAGGGGGCGTGCGATTGTGATTCCAACCTGGAAGTCACAGTCAGGGCCCGGTCAAGCAAGGCAGGGACGACCAGGGGCTGTTCAGGTTGATGGGGCAGCAGCCGTAGCGCACTCGCATTCATCAGGCAGAGAGGCAAGGACAAGTACGAACATCCGTACCTGACTTACTATGCAAAACAAGGTACCTCTCCTATGTACGCATACGGAACGGGGCAGACAGACAGCAAAGAGGCACCTCGCGTCGCAGGATTTGACAGAGCACACCTCACTCAGCTTGAACCCAGGGAGACATGGACCAGTCGTTGAGAGGTAGGTAGAACTCTTGGTAGGTAAACAGAACATAAGGTATTACGTATAGGCAAGCACTGCAAGGCAAATATTATCGGTTGTTCATGGGAGACATGAATTCAGAGCGTCGCGTCGAAGCGAAGTTGCGTATGTGAGGCGGTTAGAGCTGAACAAAGTTATCGTGTGCTCTTTGTTCACTGTTTGGGACAGTTGTTGAAACTCGTATGCGCCCACATTCGGCTTCCTACCTTCTACTTAGTTGCGGCACAACGCGCCGTACGTATGTATAACTTCACACACAGAACAAGACCATGCATGCTGTACAATACCATATGTGTCAGTTGTTCATCAGGAGTGACTGGGAGATTCATATCCCATCAATGAAGCCCCTGATTCCCGACTCTCGTCGACGCTTCCAGATGGCATTGACAGCCTGTCTTGGTTGTGTCTGTAACCAACCTAACGTGCAGCAGTATCGCCGTGCTGCCCTGCATTCTGCATGAAGTACTGCATTCACGCACACACGTTGCTGCAACTAGACGGGCCCTGACAGGTTGGTGTTTTGCCCTGCAGCCATTTCTGCACTGAGTTGGGTGCGCCGACCAGCCTGCCTCCAGCAAATCGTCCACCTCACTCAAAGCCGCTCTGTTCCTGAGCAACCTGACCGAGTGGCCCGCCCCAGGTCCAGGTTGTCGAGGAGGGCACGGATTGGATTCTCTAGCGTGTGGTGGTACCTACTTCCAAGTTCCAGCAGCTGTACGAAGTGTGGTGAGTACCTAGCCCTACTAGTACCGAGTAATCGTCGCTGAGGTGAGTTGACGGTGAGATGTTGGCTGCCACACCTTTTCTTCCCTCCTCCATGCTAGCGAGCTCTATCACCCGTACCAGTTCGCACTAAGACTCGGCCGTCGTTAGGCGGCCACAGCCCAGGCCCATCTTCTTCTGCTTCCTGACCTTAGCGGCGGGCCAGTAGGTCACTGGCTTGTTTGGCTGGGTTGGCTTGACGAGGTTGCCAGGCAGAAGCTGGCAGGAGAGGACTAAACAGAGCGTAGTATAGTCTAGAGGACCCGCGAAGCTGCACCTCAGCCGTCAATGGCAACGCAACGTCTTCACCGCTTCGTGTGGCCTCAAACACACGTTGACTATCGCTTTCCTTTGTCTCTCATGCGCGTATTTGGTACTTCGTAACCCTTCTACTGGTAAGGTAAGCTTATGGTTTGGGCAAAGGGAATCTGACTTTTATCGAAATGGTTTGACGATAGTTCTGAGACTGGAACAGTGGATCTGGGCTTGCAATGAGTCGGCTTGCTGCAAGTCAAAAGAGAACCTAGAAACAGAAGTGGACTGGAGGCAGGGAATAGAGGCGCTGAGAGTTCAGTGCGCGCTGTGTCGTGCATTGTGTAAGGGACGGAGACCACGGTACCCTTGGGCTGTTGTGTACCTTACTTGATCGCGGTGCCATAGTGAATTTTCTGTTGGCCACCACCACTGAGACTGAACTCGACTTCCCGGTATTTACGGAGTATTCGTACCTTTTTTTTTTTAACTCATATTACCTAAGCCCACCCCAAGCACTCAAGCACACACGCGCCCCAAGTATGGTAGGTACGGCAGGTAGAACCTTGTGGGGAGGTAACGAACAATACGTAGCTTTTCACACAGGCGGAAGGAACTCTCCAGGAGCGCTTCCCCGGCGCATCCCGCAAGTGGCCCACGAAATGCACGGTCAGAGCAAGACTCAAAGCAGGAAACCTCCCTCTTCGCAAAGGGAAAAACAAAACCACCAGATGTTAACTTTCTTCGACGGATAACTTCCATACCAGCAAAGGCCGAGGCAGAGTAGGGCTCGGCGACAAAGTTCCGCCGTCAACTACGTTAGTATACCTTAGCAGTAGCGTACATCATCAGCTCAACCATAACCACGGCACCTCCGACTTTGGGGGATGACAAGACAAGGTGCCGATGGGAGCAAATCCAGACCCGGTGCTATAATGGACGACCGGATGACCAGCACATGGCAACTGCAAACCAGACGAATCATCGCAACGCCGTGCCCGACTAATACCACCAGAGTAGCGATGGCAGACAACCGTCTCTGCAGGTACAGCAACGGCGTTGGCTCCATTCGACCACGCCCCCTCCATCTCCATCACTGCCATCCGCCCCTTGCGGCAATTCTGCGAGAAAGCCACCACAGGACACAGCTAAAGCCTCGAGAGGAGAGACGGGACGAAGAGGCACCAGAAAGTTAGGCCAAGTCACTTCAAGCCATGTCATGTTTTTGCTCAACACCTACCACTTCCCAAGGTACATACACCCAGCTCCCGCCCAAGCACTACCTCATCGGGGATTACACTTTCGCTTCGTCTTCTAACCTAGATTCAGTCCCGTATATTGAACACCTTCTTTGCTTCTTTTCCCCGACCCGAGCGACCCGGCCTGGTTTCAACCCCAATCAAAGACACCGGCGGCCGTACCTACGAATATCGCGCGGGGGGCTCCAACTCGATTTGAATCGACAGCCACGCCGCATCTCAAAAATGGGCCGACGCCTCGGGTTCTACCTCGTCCACAGCCAACGCCAGAGCCAAAGCGGTCAAGCGATGTGTGTGGGCTCACTGCAGCG